ATTTTCTATGGTTCTATTTTTTATGTACATTTGTTGACAACATCGCAATGATTTCAGTTTTTTTAATGTTTTGTTACAGTGATGTTTCTCGTATGCCAAGTTACGCTTCCGAGTTATTAATAAACTTTTGAAAATTTGAATAATGATAAGTGATTAGCTCTATATAGATTTTGTTGAGAATATTGCAAGCATACTTTACTTAAAAGCCCATTAAGCCATAAAATGCTATGATTTGTATTTCTCAAAAGCTTTTTTTACGTGTCCAGTTACCGTTTCCAAAAAGTTACTCATTTGACAATATAGCCTAGGCATTTTTGCTTCTTTTGGGTACAGTTAATTATAGTGGCTTAGTTTTTGTATCGAAGTCAAAATACCATGTACAGTTTACTTTTGCTACCAATATGACAATGAAATTCACATTTAAGCCCTTTTTTATTCATCTCACGTGTGCTATATCATTTATTATTACATCACATAAAACACATGAAATATACCATTTTCTAAAGAATGAAAAACTATTCATTTCTGATGCATAATGTACCTTTAAAGTGTGATGCGATGTTTGACGTGAATGGCATCAGATATATGAGACTTACGCGATATTAAAAATTGCACGTTGAAGAGTTCGAACAACTCCTCCCGTGCGAGAGGAAAGATAATTTGCAGGATATTTTGGGAGGCTTAATCAATAATCCAAACATTAGTAACATTTTATTTTAGAAAATTGTCTGTATAAAATAAGGAGAAAAATAACAACTAATTTACTTTTGTGCTGGGTCATAAATTGATGTATCGAATGTCCCAGTTTTTGTACTCATAATGTTTAAAACTAACAAGCGGGCCATGATGGCCCTGAATCGCTCACCTGTATATAGAAACTCTCCATGACGAGGAACAAGTAATATTGTAAACTATAAACAAAAGCAGATATCAAATCTAAATCTTAAACTGATATCACAAAGTTCATATTTGTATCTAAAATAGTGCATGTGTACAAACATTAGTTTTTAATATATACATATAAAGAAAATCAATGACCCCTCCCCCCTCAAGGACGGGGCCAATTTTGACCCTCAAGGCTTTGTAGACACTTACTAAAACATGTTGCATGCTTAATATCTTAACTCTGGCTCTTTAGGTATTTTAAAAGAAAGTTTTTTTTTAAAGTTTTTACTATTCACATATAAGAAAAATCAATAACCCCAAGGGCAGGGCCAATTTTGACCCCAGGGCTTTTATTTGAACAAACTTAGTAGACACTCACTAGAAGATGTCATGCTAAATATCTAAGCTCTAGACCTTTGGGGTTTTCAAAAGAAGATTTTTTTCTTTTGGTTGCCATTGCAACAAGTTCTGCATGGAATTAAATTTTTTGTACAATATTTAAGGGAACATTCCTGCGAAGTTTGGATGAAATTGGCTTAGCGGTTATTGATTTTGTTTAAAGTAAGTTTACAGGTGACGGATGGACGCCGAACGAAAAGTGATCACAAAAGCTCACCATGTTACTTTGTGACAGGTGAGCTAAAAAAAACAACCAAAAAACAAACAACAATGACAAAAAAGTAAGATAATTGTGATATTTCTGGGAAAACATATATTATTGTGGATAATGCACATATGTCCATCTGTCAGAGACATGGCATCAATAATTAAGATTTTAACTGCTTAACTTCTATCATGGATTTGCCCCATCTTGAATGTAATAAAATCCATTTAAATTTCAACGACAAATGTATTTCAATCTGATTAAAATCAGCTTATAATAACTCCATGCAAGAAATAACTTCAGTAGATCTGAACATGTCAGATTGGAATTCAATTTGTACTGCAACTGGGCTACCACCAGTAACCTTTCCTGTCAAACTAGCCAACGACCCAGACTTTATACTGGCGGCAAAGGCTAATTACTCAGTTCCAACAGGTGGTGGTTAAAGTGGAATGTAATGTGCATTGATTATCTATTGTCTGTTAACTTACTCTTGTCAAACATACAAACACAACACAAACACTGTTTATATTTCAATTTCATATATTTCACAAATATTGCATTTATTTATAAACAGTATTTCAATATTATGACATATCAAAGTTTGGATTTCTAAAGCACATTTTGTAAAACTAACCAATCAGTTTACACTATCGGGGTGTTACATTGTTCTGGTGTCTTATAACATTATAAAACATAAAGATATCACAGACTATTGTGTTTCATTCTGAAATACATTAATTTACATATATACGTGTATTCTTTACAAGTATACACTAATACACCAGTAAAGTATCACTAATGTTTGAGTTCAAAAATCTTAACATTGAACAAGATGTGCATTAAAGTGGATTTGTCTTTAATGAGTATATGAGCCGTGTCATGACAAAACCAACATAGTGCATTTGCGACCAGCATGGATCCAGACCAGCCTGCGCATCCGTGCAGTCTGATCAGGATCCATACTGTTCGCTTACAAATCCTATAACACATAGAGAAACTGATAGCGAACAGCAAATCCATTATGTTGGTTTTGTCATGACACGGCTTATATCTTAATTAAGTTATTTTTTCAATATTGATAAAATGTTTGGTTCCAGAACAACCGATGGGATAAAGTGGATATATACTATTGGATCATGCATATCACAGTTACCAAACCATTCATATTTCCTATTTTGTTATCATTTATGGCATTAATAACAATCAACATACTCATTTATGGCAAACAACCATCCATAGCAGGCCAATCCACTTTAAGACTGTTAAAATTCAAGAATTTTGAAAAACTTGTTATTTTCGAAACATCTGAAAGCTCTTTAACAAATGTATAAAAGCTCTTTACAATAAATGTATAAAAGATTTTTACCAAGGGTTTAAAAGCTCTTTACCAAAAGTTTAAAATCATTTTACCAAAAGTAATTAAGCTCTTTACCAACGGTATAAAAGCTCTTTACCAAAGGGATAAAGGTATAATGTGTCAAATATCAAGGCTAAGATTAATGTAATCTGCAGACAGACAGGTGGACAAACAAGAGGTACAAATCATCACACACCCATCTATGAATACATTTACAGGCATATAAATAATAATATTTTGTTACTGAAAATGCAAAATAAGAAACATTTGTGATATAGATGGCTGTTTAGAGTATTTAACAATGTACCAAAACTATGTGAAAAACGAATAAAAAATTAGACTCACTATTTTTGACCAATTTACAGTAAATCACCTGTTCAATAGACATTTGTGTAAAATGCTAAAAATCAGGACAAAAACAAGAAACATTTCAGTAACATAGATAATGAAATGGTATGCAAATACAATCCTTACATTTAACCTAATAAAAACACACAACTTACAATTTGCTAAAAAAATATTTTTTTGAAGAAATTTGAACTTTTAACAAAAATAAAATTTCATCAAATTGTTTCAATGGTATTTGAATTTTCACAAAATATTTAAAAAATATGTGCTTGAAAAAAAAAATGCTTTTCATAACAAATTTTAACATTCAATAACATTTGACATGAATTGTAGACATTTTTCTTATTTTTTTATATAAAATACAATACATTTGTTAATATAAAGTATCATGGAATGCATTTATAACATTACAAGAGAGTCATGACAGTCTTGCATTACTCATCAAAATCAATGTATTAATTTTGTGCCCAAAATTTTATATCTCTTTGATTATGATGTTTTTTTTAAATGGATTTTACAGTCTAAGTTTGATTGTAACAATAGTATATCTAATGGTTCACAAGTAAAATTTGTTATGTTTTCTAATAGCAGTCCCTAAATGTGGCTAACAAAAATGCATAAATTTGGCAGAGAACAATCTTATGATGTCATATACCAACTAAAACTATGATCTAAAACTTGATATCTTTAAAGTTTAATCGAAAAAAATTGTGTTAAAGTCTCTCTATTTTTAGCTTTGGTGACCTATAACAAGGTCAATTAAGATGGTCACATGGATGCTTCACAGCAAATTTGAAGAAAATGTCAACATTAATTTCAGAGAAAACCATTGTTGAACCAGGACAGGACAGCAGACTGCAGAATCCCCCTTTCATACTGAAAGCTCATCTTTGGTTCTGGTGAGTAATACTGTATTCCTAGAAATGTTCGCGGATACAATATTTCGCGTTTTTCACAACGTCGGCATTTTCGCGGAGACAAACTTTCGCGGATTTGTAGTAACCGCGAATTCCGCGAATATTAAGTCGCTACGGCCTAAATTACAGCTTTTTTAGGCTACGGTATAAACCTACATGTATTTGATTTTCCATTTATGAATGTCACATAAATAATTCAGCAATTCATGATTGACCTTAAAATCTATAAACTAGAACAAGTGTATTACTCAAAGGTAGCAGGAAATTTCCCGGTTTTGTTTTTTGTTTTTCCCCCGGTCCAGACGTCTGGATTTATATAACGGTTATGTTGTGCTACTTTAACAGTATTGGACTGTACATCGCTTTCATTATAACAACATAACAGCTGTTTATCAATGTAGCTATTGTACTTTAAACAAAGGATTACACCTTCTCCAAGCAAATAAGATCCAAGTCATTTAATGTACGCAAACTGTAAATGCTTTGTATACGCTGTGACTAGCAAATAATGTGAATAAGCGTGATAATTAGTAATAATTGACGTTTTTTCATGTTTTTTTGTTTTGTTTTGTTATGTGCATTATAGGTATATTGAAATGTAAATATGGATTACAACTTAACCTGTGGTGGCTTAGTAAGGAGATAACTTTACATAATTTTTTACACATTTCTATAGCACCTGTGTTTATATGTTATTGTGTAAGTAGATTATAATAAATATTTGGAACGTTTATGTTTTTATTTGGTTGAGGCTAGAAATGTTCGCGGATTTGTTATAAGTGACATATTCGCGGCTATAAAGATTCGCGTAATCATGTCTACCGCGAAAAGCGCTAACTTAAAATGCGCGAAATCTTTTCTAGGAATACAGTAAATAACAACCAAGTTTAAAAATAAATAACAATTTATAAAAACTCTATTTCATGGTATATCAATGTCAGGACACTAACATGACAACACTTATGATGTTTTAAGCATAAAATTATATGTATATGGTGCATGGTGGCTAACTTAGGCCAGGTCATATTTTTCCCCCTTGAAAAATGGCAAAAAATACAAAGATACAGCAAAGCTCAACTTTTTTTGTATCTTTGTCTTTTGACATTTTTGCATTTTAGAACAGCAAGATTAGGCTTTTGAAAATTCTGGGAATGCTTCATACTTTTTTTAAATATATAATTCCTTAGTATTCAAAAGCAAATAACAGGGAAAGAATTCTTGTATCATATTTCATCTACACGATTACAGCATCCTATCTCCAACTGCCTTCACTAAACAGGTACAAGTATATCGATCTACCAAAATATGAAGATTATAATATAAATGTAATGAAATTGTTCCCCTTTTTTAATATAAACCGGTCATGTGAAATTTTGAACAACAATCATTGTGTCAATAATATACATGTATATATATATATCTCTATGGCACATAAAAAGCAACAATATATATCATAATAAAAACACAACAAACTAATATGAGTAACATTTACAGCAGATATGGAATGATGTAAAATCTCTAAGACTCTCTGACCAAAACCTCTTTCTCTTTAATATTTATCATTGAACTTCCAGCACCACACTAAATACCATATTCCGGTATATACCGGACAAGGTGTTTGAATGATTTAATGCTAAAATCTTTCCTTTTTGCCCACTGAAATGCACTTTAAGAACCTTATTCATCTGTTCACACCTATTTATATATGTTAATAAATAAATATTGTAAGAATCAGTGATCATGTTTTCTGTAAGCATCTGCTTTGCTTAACAGGTACTCGAGAGCTAGATATTCCTGTCTGTACTGACAGCCGGTGTTTGATTATTTTTCTTGTATATTATATATCAATTATTTTCAGAACTGAAATTAGGAAAACTGATATTCTCACTAATGTCTTAACTTCATCTAACAAACAATATGTTCCCTTCAATTTTGATATACTTGACATTTTCAGTAAATTTAAATGCCAGCAAAAAACACAACTGAATTATGAACAAGAGTGATCTAGATTAGAGATATTCATACTATAAGAATCTAAAATTGGCTGCCCTTACAGACTGGAAGGTAACTGTTTACTGCGGTAACGAGGCTCTGCAAAGTTAGGCTCTGCAAAGTTTCTGCTAAACAATTACCCTAGAGCTAGATATTCCCGTCTGTGACAACAGCTGGTACATGATTCTTTTATTGCATTATTACATATCAATTATCTTCAGAATGGAAATTACGAAAACTGATATTCTCATTACCCACTTACATTTTACAATAGCGTATGAACTTACAACTTCACATTTATTACAGTAAAATGACGAGATCCTTAGAAAGCTCTTTATTTATAAAAGGTGCGCAGCAATGTCATTTAAAGCACGCAACTTGTCTTTCATTGGGGTTGTAAGACAGCTTTTTCTAGCACTGGTGTAAACGGTAGATAATCCTGTCTGATATGCAAGAAATCACTGAACATAATTGAATGACATTGTAACATGTTAAAAGACACTTTAACATCTGGAAAATTCTTAAATACGCTCTGTCTGGAAAATCATATGAAGCTTCGACAAGAAAAAATAATAACTCTGCCTAGAAAAATGAAGCTCAGCTTTGAAAAAAAAACTAGCTCTACCAAGAAAAAAACCCAACAAAATCCTACCTAATATAATAAATAAGAAGTTAGTTCTTTACTAAAGTCAAAATTTAACAATTAAAGAAATGATTGGTCAGTTGCTATCTGACTTGTTGCTTTAACATTTAAATCTTACTTGTGAAAATTTCAACATTGTTTTAAAATTAATAGTAAATTTCCTTTTCTAGTGAATAAAAGTTATTCAAAGGATATAAGGCACTTTAATCAACATAAACAATTTACGAAACTTTGAAATCATAGGCAAAATTAGCATTTTCTTTTTTCAGAAAATGGGGGTGCAGATAAAGTTAATAAATTCACCATATTTTTGCACATAACCAAGCTGCAAATACATTGCATGGATAAAGGGTAACTTTTCATACATAATTGTTAAATAAATTTGATTTCTCAAAAGTTTACTTGCTAATCTAAAGGTGGGTCATCAAACATCAAACAAAAACTTTTTCATACTAGTGCATATTAACATTGTCATAATAATGAAATTATCCCCCCTTACAAACACATCAAATTTATTTTAAATATTTTTTTTTAACTTTTAACTTTCATCATCTTCATTGTCCATCCCCTGAAATAAAAAAAGTAAAATCTATGAATCAAGTACATTCAGCACTCCTTCAAAGAAATACTTGATTAAAATTCTTGCAAATTTTATCTGCAGAACAAATTCACAAATATAAATCTGCAAACGTTTCAAACTTCTTATACTTTTAAGAAACAATAAATCATGTTTAATTATTTTCTAGATATTTCCATTTATGTTTTAACTTCAAGGATTGAGCAGAAATTTGATGTTCAGAAAACTAGTATGTGTGTTTCCAAATAATGTTAACATTTACTAGCCATAACTAAGGTATTTGTCAAAGCAGTAAAAAGCAGCAAATTTTTTTTTTTGACACGGCTGTAATTAAAGCCGTGGCTTTGATAATCAGATTTTAAGTTAAATTATATACAGAGTTGCAATGATATGAATGCTAAACTGATTTCTAAAGGACACAATCTCTGTGCAAATAAATGAGTTGGAAAGTGTTCCAAATGTACACTAGTTGATTCGTTACATGGGGGAACGGGTTCATAAGTGCATGGGGGAATGGGTTCAAAAGTGAAACATAGACCAGTCTATTAATAGCGAATGGTCAATTCAATATGTTTTAAATCAATATATCAAACACAAGTTATCTCTCTCTTGCATGATATTGCAAAATCAAGGACAAAAGTGTCGATATGGTGCAATAATAAAGGCATGGATGAATTATTTGGGTAATACATGTATGTGCTATTTTCTGCTTACATAAATAGCACTGTTCAACTATGATAATCCCTAAAATGGAAAGAAGCTTGCTATTTTGAAAACAATTCTATTCATGAGATTATTTTTGCAAAAATGCAACATTAAATATGACAAATAATTAAAAATGGTTCTGTCCAGATTAAACTAGAACTGCCACTATCATGGCGTGAATACCCCCGCATACCACTTTGTCAGAATCAACAGTGGCCATTTAGAGCTCAAGGACAACCTCCCTGCCAAATCTGAGGTTACTAAGCCAGTGCATTGCTAAGTTATGTATTCTACATGCTTCAAATGTGAAAATGTCAATACATTGTGGACAGGACATTCTTTAGCAATTGAGAAGAAAACTTTTTTTTTTTGTCAAGGTCCTGTGACCTTGACCTTTGACCCAGTGACTTCAAAATCAATAGGGGTCACCTTATAGTCATGATCAACATCCATACCAAATATGAAGACTGTGGGTCAAAGGAATCTTAAGTAAATGGGTGGACAAACTTTTTGAAGTCAAAGTCCTATGACCTTTGACCTTTGATCCAGTGACCTCAAAATCAATAGGGGTCATCTACTAATCATGATCAACATCCATGCCAATATGAAGACTGTGGGTCAAAGGAATCTTAAGTTATTGGGCAGACAAACTTTTTGAAGTCAAAGTCCCTGTGACCTTTGACTTTGACCTGGTGACCTCAAAATCAATAGGGGTCATCTACTAATCATGACTAACCTCCATGCCAAATAGAAAGACTATGGGGTCAAAGGAATCTTAAGTTATTGGGCGGACAAGCTTTTTGAAGTCAAGGCCCTGTGACCTTGACCTTTGACGCGGGTGACCTCAAAATCAAATAGGGGTCATCTACTAATCATGACTAACCTCCATGCAAATATGACGACTGTAGTCAAAGGAATCTTAAGTTATTGGGCGGACAAGCTTTTTGAAGTCAAGGCCCTGTGACCTTGACCTTTGACCTGGTAACCTCAAAATCAATAGGGGTCATCTACTAATCATGACTAACCTCCATGCCAATATGAGACTGTAGGTCAAAGGAATCTTAAGTTATTGGGCGGACAAGCTTTTTTGAAGTCAAGGCCCTGTGACCTTGACCCTTTGACCTAGTGACCTCAAATCAATAGGGGTCATCTACTAATCATGACTAACCTCCATGCAAATATGAAGACTGTAGGTCAAAGGAATCTTAAGTTATTGGGCGGACAAGCTTTTTTGAAGTAAGGCCCCTGTGACCTTGACCTTTGACCTAGTGACCTCAAAATCAATAGGGGTCATCTACTAATCATGACTAACCTCCATGCCAAATATGAAAAGCTAAGGGTCAAAGGAATCTCAAGTTTTGGGCGGGACAAGAAAAAACCGACGGACAGCCGGACGGCCGGACAGCCAGACAGCCGGACGGCCGGACAAGCTGATTCCAGTATACCCCCCTTACAACTTTGTTGTGCGGGGGTATAAAAATGGACAAGGTCAATTTTAGATTTTAAGCATGGTTATATCATATAATATGAGCCGCGTCACGACAAAACCAATATAATGCATTTGCGACCAGCATGGATCCAGACCAGCCTGCGCATCCACGCAGTCTGATCAGGATCCATGCTGTTCGCTTACAAACCCTATAACAAGTAGAGAAACTGATGATGATGCAGATGCGCAGGCTGGTCTGGATCCATGCTGGTCGCAAACCCATTATGTAGGTTTTGTCATGACGCGGCTCATATATCAGTTGATTGTAGTAGTTTTAAGGGCCTCAGTCTTATAGTACTCTGTCATAGGTAAATTATTCTAGCAGCCATATAACTAAGGTAGGGTTTCTGTGATTAATGTTCAAGATGAATTATATAGAATATGTTCATTTGAAAAACAATACTTGAAATTTAATTTAGAAAACTGGTGCCAATTGAATGGTATCCAATCATATAGGAGAGAAAACAAGAGGGCCATGATGGCCCTGAGGTCGCTCACCTGTATATAGCCCCCCACCCCCGGGCCAATTTTTACCCAAGGGCTTTTATTTGTTTATTTGAACAGACTTTGGTAGACACCCATAAGAAGATGTTTCATGCTAAACATCTAAGTTCTAGCTCATTGGCATTTTTAAAAGAAGATTTTTTAAAGTTTTTACTATACACTTATAGTTAAAAACAAATGTCACCCCTGGGGCAGGGCCAGTTTTTGACCCCCCCCCCCCCCGGCGTTTATTTTAACAAACTTTGTAGATATTTACTTAAAGATGTTTCATGCTTAATATCTAAACTCTAGCTATTTGGGTTTTTCCAAAGAAGATTTTTAAGTTTTTGCTATACACATATAAGGAAAATCAATGAACCCCCCCACCCGGTTCGGCGGGGCCAGTTTTTGGACCCCAGGGCTTTTATTTGAACATACTTGATAGACAACCCATTAGAACATGTTTCATGCTAAATATCTTAGCTCTAGCTCTTTGAGTTCTTTAAAAAAGAAGATTTTTTAAGTTTTTACTTTATGTATATAGGGAAAATCTATGACCCCCTGGGGCAGGGTCAATTTTGACCCGCCCAGGGCTTTTATTTGTTCAAACTTGGTAGACATTCACTAGAAGATGTTTCATGCCAAATATCTAAGCTCTAGCTCTTATGGTTTCTTTAAAAGGAGATTTTTTTAAGTTTTTACCATATGCATATAGGGAAAATCAATGACCCCCGGGCGGGGCCAGTTTTTGACCCCAGGGCTTTAATTTGAACAACTTGGTAGACACTCACTAGAAGATGTTTTCATGCTTAATATCTTAGCTCTAGCTCTTTGGGTTCTTTTAAAA